TTGTTTTTGTTCCTGAGACAGGAGAAATATTTGGATCTGGAATACTCACGGGTTGACTTGGTCCAACATTGCTGAGTTATCCTCGCGCTGTGAGACTGGCCAGTTTGTGTGTAGATGTGGAATGTGTACTTCCGTCCAGGCTGCAAGTTTTCAACCAGGAAATTGTATTTCTTTCCGATGGTCTGAGCAGTTACTAAGTGGCCTCCATCATACGAGGAGATGTTGAATCCAGTGTAGTTGCCCCTTGGCTTGCTCCATACCACAAGGATTGAGTATCCTGAGATCTCACTGCACTGAAGGCTGGAGATGGCACCAGGAGCTGTAAAAGGCACCAAGGGATTAGGCTGAGCACAGCACCTTCTGCTTTTAATGAGTTAACATGAACTGTTGTGGAGTGGGACAGTGTCACAGATGACAGGAGGGAATTAGAAAATGGATTGTTACATCACATGGAATAAAGATGAAAAAAATAAACAGACAAAGAGATGCAAATAGAGGAACAGTGAAAAAGAAAGTGAGAGAGGACAAGAGAGAGGGAGAGGATGCGAGAGAGAGAGAGAGAGGACAAGAGGGAGAGAGAGGACGAAACAGAGAGAGGGAAAGAAAGGGAGAGATGATGAGAGTGAGAGAGGGAGAGGATGCGAGAGAGGGAAAAAGAGAAAGTGAATGAGAGAGAGAGAGCGAGGGACCACATGAGAGAGAGGGGAAGAGAGGGAGAGAGAAAGAAAAAAAGGACAAGAGGAAGAAGGGGAAAGAGGGAGAGTAAGAGAGTGGGTGGAAGAGACAGAGAAAGAGAGAGGATGACAGACAGGGGGTGTGAGAGAGAAACAAGGTCAGAGAAAAGCTGAGATAAAAAGGTGTAGAGCTGGATGAACACAGCAGGCCAAGCAGCATCAGAGGAGCAGGAAAGCTGACGTTTCGGGTCTGGACCCTTCTTCAGAAAAATCATGGGCACTTTAGAGAGAAGGTCAGAGAGATAGAAAGGTGGCTTATTGGACAGATGAAGTGACAGAGATAGAGAGGGAGAGGGAGAGGGCAAGATAAAGTGAAAAAGGGCTAGAGACAAAGAGAAAGAGAGAGAGAGAAAGAAGGCTTGGCCAATCTCGATTCAATATGAACCTTCAAAAAGTCATTCATGAAAAGGAAAGAGCTCCATGGCTATGGGGAAGGAGCTGGCGATAGGAATTAATTGGATAGCACTTTCAGAGAGCTGGTAGAGGCATGATGGGCTGACTGGTCTTGTTCTGCTGTAGATAACCCAGAACCCACTGTTGACCACATGTGGTCTGTTCTGGTTTTAATTGCTATTTGATTGAATGCTTCTCAGGAGCATGTTTTGGGTACATGTGTCCAAGACACTGCCTGCTCCAGGAAAGACATGCTCCCTCTCATTGTCAGGAGCACTCTGTGTACCCGATTCCAGCCTCACGTCATATGTAGCACCGTCTAGAGGCCTATCAATGGGAACATTGTCATTTTTTTTAATCCTAAGGGTGGTGGGAAGGGGGAAGATTTGTAATTATAAGGCTTCTTACTTAACCTCAAAACATCCTAAAGCATTCCTCAACACTATACAGTATAGGAGTTGGGACATCAAGTTGACATTGTTCAAGATATTGGTGAGGCCTCTTCTGGAATACTGTGTCCAGTTCTGGTCACTTTGTTATAGGAAAGATATTATTAAGCTGGAGAGGTTCCAAAGAGATTTACCAGGATGTTCCCGGGACTGGAAGGTTTGAGTTATAAGGAGAGGCTGGATAGGCTGGGACTTTTTCCATTGGAGCGTAGCAGGTTGAGAGGTGACATTATAGAGGTTTATAAAATTATGAGAAGTATAGATAAAGTGAATGGCAGATGTCTTTTCCCTAGGGTGGGGGATTTCAAGACTAGGTGGCATATGTTTAAGGTGAGAGGAGAAAGATCTAAAAAAGATGTGAGGGGCAATTTTTTTTTACACAGAGAGTAGTTTGTGTGTGGAATGAACTTCCAGAGGAAGAGATGGATGCAGGTACAGGTACAACACTTAAAAGTCATTTGGATTAGTACATGAATAGGAAAGATTTGGAGGGATATGAGCCAAGCGCAGGCAGATGGGACTGGTTTAGTTTGGGATTATGGTCAGCATGGACTGGTTGGGCCGAAGGGCCTGTTTCTGCACTGTATGACTCTGTGCGTCCATGCTGTGAGGATGTGCACTTCTTTGAACATGTGACTTGGGATCACGAATAGGCTATTTGAGCCCTACAGCCATTTCTGCTACTCAGTAAGATGCTGCCCGATCTCAGCTCTACCTTCTTGCTTATCCCTACACCCACTGACTCCCTCATCGGACAAAGATCTAAGATTAGACGGTAGCTGAGAATGGGTTGAGCCACATCAGATGCAGCGGGTTAACTCGCTGATATCCCTGACAGGAAGATGCAGGAAGCTGGACTTGAATTATAGAACAGTACAGAAAGAGGCCACTCAGCCCATCGAGTCTGCACTGACCCTCTAAAGAGCATCCCACCTAGACTGACCACCCAATCCCGTGACCCCACATTTCCCATGGCTAACCTACCTAGTCTGCACATCCCTGGACACTATGGGGCAATTTAGCATGGCCAATCTACCTTAACCTGCACATCTTTGGACTGTGGGAGGAAACTGGGACTCCCGGAGGAAACCCACGCAGACACGGGGAGAATGTGCGAACTCCACATTTGGGAGGGTGGAATTGAAGCTGGGTCCTTGACGCTGTGAGGCAGCAGTGCCCAAGCAATATCCCCAGAGAGAGTCAGCCCCTTCTGGAAAGAAAGGGAGGAATGAAGAGTGAGGAGAGAAAGCGAGAGTGACATTTCTGACTCTTGTCTGGTCCTGGGTCTTGTGACCAGCTCCAGCTGTGGGTTGTTCTCTGGCAGTGAGTGTTCACAGTGACCCCTGATGAGCTACAAACATGCCCCGGCAGTCAGATAGTCAGCGGAATGGCTGATGGGCTGGGCACATGCATATCATATAGGGAAATGGCCATTTGTCAGTGTGGTATTGAGGGAATGCTGCACTGTCAAGCATGTTGCTGATTACAGGAGGCATTAATCTGAAGGATTTAAAAGGTTTGAAGGATTGGGTTAATATAAAAGATTTTGTGCCCATTTTCAAGTACCCTGTGCGATATATTTTATTTCAAATTTTAATTTCTTCATTCCAGTCACTATGTTTTGTGGGATCATGCTGTACCCATTTACTGCTGTAATTGGCCACACGACAGAAGCGATTATACTCTGAATGCAATCCATTTGCTATGAACTGAATCACACCTTCCCCATGTAAGATTCAGCCTGTTTCCCTAGGCACTGTACATTTAACAGGGGGTTTTCCCAATGTTTCACACCAGCTCATTAGCTCACTGCGGAGACAACTACAAAATACCAAGACCCTTCCCATGTAACCTATTCAGAGATGGTGTTGCACACCTCTGAAGCAGGAGGGACTTGAACCTCCTGGACCCTTTGGTCCAACCAGTCCATGCTGAACATAATCCCAAACTAAACTAGTCCCGCCTGCATGCTCCTGGCCCATATCCCTCATATTCATTTTGTAACTGTACCCACATCCACCACTTCCTCAGGAAGTCCACTTCACATGCGAACCACCCTCTCTGTAAAACATTTGCCCCTCATGTCTTATTTAAATGCTTCTACTCTCACCTTAAAAATGTGCCCCCTAGTCTTGAAATCCTGCGTTCTAGGGAAAAGACAGCTACCGTGAAGATGGGATCAGGAGGAGGCCATTCAGCCCAATTAGCCTGTACTGCAACTCGATGCCAATGGGATTGATCTCTGATTGTCCCTATGCCTTCATTTGTTTGGGAAACAAAATGCATCAATCTCAGGTTTAAAACTAATGATTTACTGATTATCAATTGCAATTTGCAGAAGAGAGTTTCAGATGGTTCATCTAATTCACTAATGTCCCTTAGGGAAGGAAACTGCCATCCTTACCTGGTCTGGACTACATGTAACTCCAAACCCACAGCAATGGGGTTGACTCTGTACTACCCTCTGGGATAGGCAATAAATGCTGGCCTAGCCAGCGACACCCTCATCCATGAATGAGCAAAGGAAAATGTTTATTGCCCAATCTTTGTAGGAATGTTCCTCAATATCATCACTAAAACTTTTAGACTAAGCCCAAACTCTGAATCAAATTGTCCCTTAATTGACCAGTCTCTAGGGAGTACAATTCCTGGTTTGTGTAATCTCTTTGTGTAATTTAAGTCTTGGAGCTACCAACTCTTGTGGTGCAGTGGTAATGTCCCTACCTCTGGGTGAGAAGGTCTTAGTTCAAGTCTCACCTGCACCAGAGGTATGCTATAACATGCCTAAGTAGGTTCATGAAAAATATAAGCCTTGGTGCCTGTGCATCAGTCTGCTCAATCTACACTGCATTCCCTCCCAGGCCAATGTGTCCTCTAAAGCTGTTGCATTTTGCTACAAGCAAGTCACTTCAATTCAAAACTAATTCATTGGCTGCAGGGTGGTTTGGAACATCTCGAGAATACAAAACGCTACAACAGGCAACTTTTTCTCTTTCTTCACACAATCTTCAGTGATGTGAGCTCTGCTCCGACTCACTTGTCCCCGTCGCTCTTAGTCTCCACTCTTTTGCAAAGCCTGCTCTTTGTGAACATGCCTTCTCTTGTTACAGTGTGAGTTGGAGCTACCGTAGCAACCGTATCCATGCTGCACTACATCTCTAGGTTTTATAGATTCATTTGGAGTTTGTTTCTGTTGTTACAGATTCTGAATTAGTCTATTTTCCACAATAGTCTCTTCCATCCCAACTCTACAGCTGGCAGGTAAACATTAAACTGCAAAGACTGACTGCCCACCAGAGTGCCTGTTCCTTTAATCGATGGAGGGTAACTTACTTGTGGTACTTTGCACAATCGCAGGGTCACTCTGTATGTTCTCTGGAGTGACTGCCTTTACTGTCAGGTTATATCTGAGTCCAGGTTCCAGATCTGGCACTTGGAACATATTCTGTCCTGGTCCGATGGAGTAAGCTGCATTGAAAGTTGTAATATCGCATGTGACTGTAATATTATACGTGTACTCAGAGGCTCGTTTATCAGTGGGCACTCTCCATTTTATTGTCAGTGAGTATGTTGTCCTGTTCACTACAGACAGTTCAGAGACTGCGGATGGATCTGTGAACGGAAAGGCAGAAGTGGGGTTAACATGGTCCAGGCTTTATGAGCAGTTATAGGATGATGTTTGAGAGCTAGCTGCAGTTTCCCTGTGACCCTGTTATTGGAAGGAATCAAATCTGACATATGTTCTAACTGAAGACATTGGCGGCACAGTGGCTCAGTGGTTAGCACTGCTGACTCACAGCGCCAGGGACTCAGGTTTGATTCCACCCTCTGGGCTTCTGTGTGGAGTTTACACATTATCCTCGTGGCTGTGTGTGTTTCCTCTGGGTGCTCCGGTTTCCTCACGTAGCCCAAAGATGTGCAGGCTGGGTGGATTGGCCATGGAAAATGCAGGGTTATTAGGATGAAGTGGGTCTGGGTG